CCCCCCCCCCCCCCCCGCCATCTTTCAAGGTCTGGCTTCAGGACCCCTTCCTCTGGGAAGCCCTCCCCGATTGCCCCATCCCACTATACACTCTCTCCTCTTGCCATGATAACTGTCTTCCCGTTGGCTCCAAGCCATGTTCCACTTCGTGTAATTAACCACCATTGATTGTCTACTGTGTACTGGCTACTGTGTTGATTGCTTTAAATGCAGAGCCTCTAACCCTCACCATCCATCCCTGGGTCGTAGGTGTTATTTATTCTCATTACACAGATGAGGAAATGGGGGCCCAGAGAGGTTAAGTAACTGACCCAAGATTGTACAGCTTGTAGAGCAATTGGGGAGTAGAACTGGAATTTAAACTCAAACCCAAGACAACTCTACTACGCTGTGTTTCACTACTTTATAGCAATAGATAAATTTGTATGCATACATATCATCCCTTCAATTAGATTAAGAGCCCATGAAGTTTCAGTGTTCCTTCATTAATTTGATCATTCATTCAGCAAACATTTATTGAGCCCCAGTGTGTGCTGGGTCTGGAGGGTCACGGTTCCCCGATGCCCAGCCCAAGGCCGGGCTGGGCAATAAGCATTGCCCAGCATTCGGTGAGAACTAGTTGATTGACTGCACTTTTTCTTATCTGGGCAGCGGAACTGGACCAGTATGTCTTCCAGGACTCCCAGCTGGAGGGCCTGAGCAAAGACATTTTCAGTAAGTTGGGGGGGGGGGGGTCTTGGCTTAGCCTGCATTTCCTTCCTTGTTCCTTGGAGAGTGCTGTAATACCCGACGACCACCTTTTTTTTTTTTTCTTTTTTTTTTTTTTTCGGTACGCGGGCCTCTCACTGTTGTGGCCTCTCCCGTTGCGGAGCACAGGCTCCGGACGCGCAGGCTCAGCGGCCATGGCTCACGGGCCCAGCCGCTCCGCGGCATGTGGGATCTTCCCGGACTGGGGCACGAACCCGTGTTCCCTGCATTGGCAGGCAGGCTCTCAACCACTGCGCCACCAGGGAAGCCCCGACGACCACCTTTGATGGATGGTCAGATCATCCCCAACATAGGGACAATGGGAGCTCACCTTGGACGTCCGCTGACTGTGTGTGTTGGTGTCTTTGGTTTTTCCCCAAAGTCGAGCACATAGGACTGGAAGAAATGATCAGCGAGAGTGTGGAGGTGCTGGAGGAAGCAGGACAGAAAAGTCAGAAAAGACGTGAGTGAGCCCCTCCCTGATCCGGCCTAGCCTTGCTTGACTCCCGGCCATGCCTTGGCTCTAAAACCTGTTACGGCTCCCGGTTGCTTCCCTAGTTAAGTTCTGTCTGCTCTGCCAGGCTTGGGTGTCCCACCCACCTCTTCCCTCACCACTGCTCCCTGGTGACCCAGGGAGGAAGCAGAAGGCCCCTCTCCTGATGGGTCTCTACCTCTGGCTGTTTTGATTACCATTTCCAAAAGGACCTCTGGGCTCTGGCTTCTCTTCCATCCTTAGTTGTCACCCCTGTATTTAAGTGAGGTCTCTTCAAGCACAGTTTTTTCCCAGCAAGATCTGGGTTTGAATCCTGGATCTGCTGTTTATAGTCTATATGAACTTGGGCAAGTACCTGCATCTCTCTGAGCCTCCTGGTCAGTCTCCCTGCCTCCTTAACCTGTCCTTACCCGGCAGCCAATGTGGACTTTTAAATGCAAATCAAATCATTTTGCTGCCCTGCTAACCCTCCAATGGCTACAAAATACATACCACAAGGGCTGTTTGATCTGGCCCTTCCCACCTCTCCTAACTCACTATGAGCCACCATGCTCCAGCCATACTGGCTTCCTTCCATTCCAGTAACCCATGTATCCTTTTCAGCCTCAGGGCCTTTGCACTTGCTGTTCTCTCTATCTGGAATGTCCTCCCCCTTCCCATGGTGGGCTTGGGAATCTGTTAGGTCTTGGCCAGAGTGTCACCTCCTCCTGAAGGCTTTCCTAGACCAACTTTTTCCATATAAATTACCTCACTTATTTTCACCTTGTTTGTGTCTCTCCTTCACTGTAGCACTTGTCACAATTTGGACTTATTTTATTTATTGCCTTTTGCTTAGTTCCCCCACTGTGAGGACAGGGACCTTGTCTTTCTTATTACTACATCCCCAGCACCTGGCACATGGCTGGCATGCAGGAGTACCTCAATGAATATCCACTGAATGAAAATTTCCATAAAATGGGCCAAACAGTTCATCAAAAGCTTACTATGTGCCAGACCATGTGTAAACCCTGTACCTAGTTATTTAATTTGAACAGGTAAACAGGTGCATGGCATAAAAATTCAAAATGTGTAAAAAATATTCAGTGAAAAAAAAATCTCCCTCCCATCCTTTTCCCCCAGTCCCTCATTTTCCCTCCCTGAAGACAACCTATGTTGCCAGTGCCCTTTTAGTCTTGTTAGGAATATTCTATTCGTCTAAAAGCCAGCTCTTAAAAAAAAATTTTTTTTTTCACACAAATGACCACATTTTACCTACCCTCTTTCTTCATTTAACA